AATGTATGGGCACAGGATACTTCCTGCAGCTTTCATTTGGTATTTGTTGTTTTGCTTTGGATAATTATGGATGATGCCACATGTATGAGGCTTAATGAAATGCACCAAATCCAAACTCAGTGTTTCTTACATACAGAGGAAGTGGGGCCTTAGTAATCATCTAATCCCCATATTCTTACGGACCTCCACAATCTCTCAGACTTCCCATGATTAACTGAGCTGCTTCCCTGGAGGCAGCCAATCTTGGTTTCCTGGGCCAGAAATAGCCCCATACAGTGTCTTTTCTTGGAGAGAAAGCTTGCTCATAGCACCAAACATGCACGTATTCTTTCTGCATTTCACACTTTATCTAAGCAGATAAGTAGGTAGAGGAAAGAAGAGGAACCAGCACACAGACAATACTTTCCAGACCCACAGTGATTGTAGTGACCAACAACTAACCTCCTGGGACTCCCAGGAGGTGCCTTGAGGGTCCATGACAATGCCTGTGCTTCTAGGTCTGCCATGTCCAGCTGAGTGACCGAGTCAAGATGAGGTATGGAAGGTGGGGCTAAGTAGCTACATTTGCTCCTCACCTAAGCAGCCAGGCCCAGTTAGCCACCAAAGTCCCATCTCTTCCTCCCTTCTCCCTCTCCTTCTCCTCTTCCTAGGCCTCTGGTGCTGACCAAGACAATTCCCTGTCTGTCTTCAGTGCATAAGGAAAAATCCTCCCAGTCCCCCAGGACCCTCCTTCCTGGTACCCTAGAATCCTCCTCTTGGTTCCCCAGGACCCTCTTGCTGGTCCTCCAGGACCCCCCTCTTGGTACCCCAAGACTTCTTCCTGGTTCTCCAGTATCCCTGAGTACCCCAGGGCCCTCTTCCTGGTCCCCCAGGATTTTCCTCCTCCTCACCCTCCAGGTCCCCATTCCTGTTACCCAGGATTATCTTCTTAGGAGTCACCACCCCATTGCTCCTCCGAGGCTCAAGAACAGACCCACCCACCTAGGCAGACTATACTGGGAGGAACTTAGCAGGAGCCTGTATAGCCAGGGTGTTTCCACTCTCACTCGTTGCCCTATACAATCCTGCCTACTGGCCTACCTGTGCTTCTGCCTACATATATCATCCCCCTTGCCCCTCTCTGGTCACTTCATATCTTGATATTTCCATTCCTAAATCCCAACTCCTTCCATTCACCTACATCTCTAGACTTTCTGTCACTATTAGCCAGAGTCCAGCTCCTGAGCACAAGCCAGCCCACAGTCCTCTAGGGCTCCCAGCTAGCCTGTGCTCCTGAAAAGAGTTCATCTCATGGATCCAGTAAGGAAGTGACTGGACTTATCCTTGTGTTTATCACCCTATCTAGGGTGTGGAGCTGAACAGGTCCCGAGAATGGACACATCTGTTCTCACTCATCCAGACATAGCTGGCCCCGCCCACCTGTATGCACACAGCTGTGATATCATTCACAAATTCACCTTCAGTGAGAAACTTGCCTGCCCTCCTTGGCCTTGGACCTGACATCACACAGATGTCACACACAACTGCCTCTGACCTAGCCATGACTCTCCTGGAAAGGAGCTAGCCTCTGCTGCAGACAAGAGAGTTCCAAAAGCAGGGAAGAGGTCAAGACTGTGGCCTAATGGCCACCATTGGTTCAGAGAAAGAGAAATCTAGAGTCTAGAGTCTCCTTTATTATTACATTTGCTACATGGAGTGAACACTGCTATGGTTTCTGGGGAGACAGGAGTATGGCAAGTCCTGGTACAGAGCTACCCATGGTGAGTCACCCACCTGTGCCCTGGGCATGCTTGCTGTTTCAGTGACTCCTTGGCTGTGTTGAGGATAGGATTCCTGAGAATGGTCTTCTAGCATGTTCCTGTAGACATAAACAAATTCTTTCTCCATTTCACACAAATATCACAGGGAATATAAAGTAATGAGAGTGAAAATTGGAGCTCTGTTGTACTACTAGGGCTAGAAGCCATGCTGACCTTAAATTGTGGTTACTCTCCCTCTATGAAAGTGTTGCCTAGCTCTCAAGGGCTTCCCAAAGATCCTTATGACCCCCATAGGATCCCAGTCGCCACCCTGACAAAGTGGAAAGGCAGAAGCTGTTGCAGGACCTGCTAGCTAGCCCCTGGCTAGCAACCCAGTTCAGATACTGGAAAAAGCCCTGAGCAGCTGGAAAACAGTAGCTCAGAACTAAGGGGCAGCTCATAGGTGCTACACAGTATGGAGCCTCTGTAGTAGGGACCCTGTCCAGCCCTCCAACCCTCAAGCTGCCACAGCTTATACTATACACAGGCATCTTACAGAGTAATCAGAACCTGAATGAGGAAAAGTACAAGCAAAAGCCAAATAAAATTACATGGTGAGAGGGAAGCTCTCCAGGGGCAGTTGAGGCTGAGTGCAGTCTTATTTCTGACCTGATTTTGGCCAAGTAGGACAGATGTGTCATATCATGATGAATCAGGGTCTGCCTTCTGGTTTGACAGTTCCAGAGTGATCTCTTAGACTAATGTCAGGCTTGAAAATGCCACCCTCCTTGGTTCTACCTGGTGGTTTCTAGCCACGGAGGCTGAGTTGGCTGTGCTTAGGCCCCAGGTATTAAGATCTGGGTCCTCCTTCAGTACCAGTCAATAGTGATTTGTGGAGACTCAGACAAAGAGATGGACAGGACACCTCTGTGGCATGTCCCTTAGAACTAATGACATCAAATGGCTTTCCATGTGTGTAGGAGCCATTTGTATACCTTTTTTTGATACTATTGTGAACAGAACTTCTAATTTTTCTTTTTTAAGATTTCTTTTTCCGTGTGATGAGTATTTTGCCTGCCTGTGTGCATGTACACTGTGAGCATGGTGGTACCTGTGGAGGCCAGGAGAAGATACCAGATCCCTTAGATTTGGAGTTATGGAATGTTATGAACCACCATGTGGGTGCTAGGAACTAAACCCCAGTCCAAACAGTGCTCTTAACTGCTGAGTCATCTCTCCAGTTCCTGGAATTTTAAAAATTCCACTTAAGAGTGTAAGCTCATAGAGATAAAATTGACTTTTGTATATTTATCTCATATCCTTCAATATTGTGAAATTCATTCCTCAGCTCTAATGTGGATTTTATGTTTTTTTAACGGCTTCCTTAGGCTTTTCTGTGTACAAGGTTATGTCAATGAACAGAGTTATTCCTTACTGTTAATTTTTTTTGCCTATTTGTCCTGACTTGAACCTTCAGAACTCCTTGGGTAGATATGACAAAGGCAGACTTCATAGATTTTTTTATGATGTTGATATGATAAATTATTAATATCAGGTGCTGTCAACTTTTCTATGAGAAAGCTCCATCATGATTTCGTTTTCTAATTATTTGGGGGGGGGGGCTTTTAGACAGGGTCTTCCTGTAGCCCCATATGGTCTGGAACTCACTATGTAGACCAGGCTGGCCTTGAGCTCACAGAGATCTGCCTGCCTCTGCCTCCTGAGTGCTGAGATTAAAGGCATGCCTGCCACACCTGGCTTTCGTTTTCTAATTATTACATTTATTTATTTATCTATTTATTTATTTGGGTGGTGTGCCATGGCACTCATATGGAGGTCAGAAGACAACTTGTAGGAGTCAGTTCTCTCTTCTACCATGTAGCTCTTGGGAATCAAAGTCAGGTCATCAGGCTTGGTGACAAGCATCTTTACCTCCTGAGCCATCTTGCAGGCTCTCTGTCATGGTTTCTAAGCCTTCTTGTCTGCTGCTGGATTCAGTTTGCTACTACTATAAGCTTTTGCTGCTGCTGTTTTCATTTTTGTTTGTTTCTGAAACAAGGTCTCATGTATTCCAGGCTGGCTTCAAACTCAATATATAGTTGAAGATGGTCTTGATCTCCTAATCCTCCTGCCTTTATTTCCCAAGTGCTGGAATTAAGAGGAATGCACTACCACATCTGGCCTTGGTTACAACTGGGTAGCTCTCTTAAGACAACACTGCCTTGGTTGTGTACCAAGGCCAGCAGAGTGAGTTAAGAAGTGTTCTCCTGGGGCTGGAGAGATGGCTCAGCAGTTAAGAACACTGACTGTTCTTGCAGAAGACCCGGGTTCAAATCCGAGCACCCACATGGCAGCTAACAACTGTCTGTAACTCTAGTCCCAGGGGATCCCACAGCCTCTTCTGACTTCTTGTGCATTTGCACCACACGGGTGCACTTAACTTACATGCAGGCAATACACACATACACGTAATAAAAAATAAAAAAGAATGTTCTCCCCACTCTTGTTTTGTCCTCATCAGTGAAGAGTTGGAGTTAACACTTTCAACATCATAGAACTCAACACTGAGGCCATCTGTGAGGACAGCCTTCTGATTGCTCAGTCTCCCTGCTGGCTTTAGATCTATTCAGATGGCTTTTTCTTCTCAAGCCATGTCTGTGGTTTACCATTCTAGAATTCATCCATTGCATCTAACTTAGAGAACCTGCAGACACTTGTTCGTGGTGTGGCCTATGTCTTTTTCCTCCTTGGTGTCAGTAGCGGTGACCCGGCTGCATTTCTAGTTCTAGTAATGTGAGATGTGTCCATGTCAATCTTTTCAAAAACTAACTCTTCATTTCTGAGGTCTGTTCTGTTTTTCCCATTCCTGCTCCAATCTCTATTGCCACTTTCTTTCTGTGCAATGTAGCTTTTATTTCTTCTTTTTCCAGTTGTCTGAAGGTAGAATGTTAGGTTATTCATGTCAGAACTTTCTTTTTTGTAGGCATCTCACCCATTATGTCAGAGGTGTTCAGGAGTCAGTGGTTCCAGGTTTTAAATGGCTTTCCAGTTTCCTGACTCAACCTGCTTATAACCCCTCATATCAGAAATGATGTCAAAATAAGTTATTTTTTAAAGGCAGGGAGGGGCCTGGGCCCTTTCAAGCAAATTCTCCCTTTCTCCACTCCTGCACTCCAGTATTTCCCCTAACATCCCTGCCTGATTTCTTCGTGCCCCAGGCCACCGTCCGTTCCCCCAACCGGGTGTCCCTCTCCTCCGTAGGGCGAGTGCTCCGCAAAGTGCCGCAACCTGTTCGTGCTGGAGACGGTATGCGTGGCCTGGTTCTCCTTCGAGTTCCTACTGCGCTCCCTACAGGCCGAGAGCAAGTGCGCCTTCCTGCGGACGCCGCTTGCCATCATCGACATCTTGGCCATCCTGCCCTTCTACGTGTCGCTGCTTGCGGGCCTGGCGGCCGGTCCCACGGGCAGCAAGATGCTGGAACGCGCGGGGTTGGTGCTGCGGCTGCTGCGTGCGCTCCGCGTGCTCTACGTAATGCGCCTGGCCCGCCACTCGCTGGGGCTGCGCTCGCTGGGCCTCACCGTGCGTAGGTGCGCGCGCGAATTCGGACTGCTCCTGCTCTTCCTCTGCGTAGCCATGGCGCTCTTCGCGCCGCTTGTGCACCTGGCTGAGCGCGAGCTGGGTGCTCGCCGCGACTTCTCCAGCGTGCCGGCCAGCTACTGGTGGGCGGTCATCTCCATGACCACCGTGGGCTATGGCGACATGGTGCCGCGCAGCCTTCCGGGCCAGGTGGTGGCGCTGAGCAGCATCCTCAGCGGCATCCTACTGATGGCCTTCCCAGTTACCTCCATCTTCCACACCTTCTCGCGCTCCTACTCGGAACTCAAGGAGCAGCAGCAGCGCGCGGCCAGCCCTGAGCCGGCCCTACGCGAAGACAGCACGCACGAGGACAGCACGCGCTCGGCCAGCGCCACTGACGACAGCTCGCAGGACCCCGAGAGCATGGCCCCGGCTGGGAGCTCGCCCAGCATGGTGGAACCCTGAGCCAGGTGCTCTGCTGAGAGTTTCTGTGGGTCAAAGCCTAGGAGGACGGTGAGCGTCCACTGACACTGGAGTTGCAAACTTGGTCCAGCACTTGTCACTGCAGTCTGGCTATCCAAGCAACCCCAAGTTTTCATAGCCTGGAAGATAAAATAGTCTGGGCTTTCCCCTCCCCTTTATTTTCCCCTCTAGTTTTAAATTTTCTATGATTAACTAAAAATAAATTGAGTCCCAGAAACGCCAAGTCAAGTGCCAGCTACCCTGGACTGATTTCTGTCTTTCCCTGCTTCTAACTCAGGGCAGTCCTAGGAAGCAAGGCATGGCGTCCCTTCTTGCCCACCCTGTGACCTTTAGTGGGCAGTCTTCAGCTAGCACAGGGCTCTGTCAGCGTCCACATTACCTGCTAAAAGTCTGGGCAGAGGTTTGACAGGACACTCAGCCTCCTAATTCTGCCTAACTATCCTTTGCAGGCAGAGGGTAAAGCTCTCCGCTTTGAATTCTGACCTCAGTTCCCTGACACCAGCTCCTCAGAGACAAGGGTCTCTTGCTCTTTCATTTCCTTGATAAGGTGGCAAGTTTCCCTCAAGTTTGCATGGCAACATTTTCATCTTTTCCCTGCCCTCTCACCTGATCTGTAGGAAGGTTGCCTGTCCTCAGGGGACTTTTCTCTGAAATACAGCTCAAGTGAAGGGGAAAAAAGGTTGCCTGTCCTCTTGGGACTTTTCTCTGAAACATAGCTCAAGGGTAGGAAAAAGAAAAACAAAAAAAAAACTCTGTGAAAGGCCTGGTGGAGTGGGGTGGTGTTTTGGGAAGACTGGCTAGGACACATCCAGGAGGCCCCCCTGCAGGGTTCCTTCAGCAGGAGCAGGAGCTTCTCAGTCAGGGCAAATGGAATGGAACTTCCCAAACCATGTTCCTTTGCCCTTGTTCAACAAGCCCACAGGTGTGGTTGCACCAGTTTATAATCCCAGCATTTGGGAGGTGGAGGCAGGAGGATCAGAAGTTCAATGAGTCAGGACACCACACCACCCTAAGACAGTCATAGACCTCAACATCCAGAGGGAAGGTCCACTATCTTAGGCCACCATCCCTGCCCACTAGGGCCCCCATGTGAGGTGCGTGCCCACTTGGGACCCTTGTACCACAGACTTTGAAAGATTCTATACCAGCCCAATAAAAAGTGCCAGTCCCTCCTCACAGCAGTGGGCTGAGCTCCTCATTCAAGTGTCACCTATGATCTGAAGGGTCCACCCTAAGCTTGGGACTCCTGGGACTAGAAAGGGGGTTTCCTGTGACTTGAGGTGTTGGCAGATACACACAGCAGGAACAACCAGAGCACCCCTACCTCTGACCTTGCCAGCATCCTTGTTGGTTTTACAAACTGCCCTATCCAGCAGTGCACAGTATTTATACATCTGTCAATGCAGTAAGCCCTCAAATGGGTGATCTCAAGGTGTCAGACTGAGAACTGATTCCAGGGCTGGAATGGCTTTGGATGCCCAGTGTGTCTGGGCTCTGGGAGCTTGGGGGTGTCATGGAGTGGTTGGTATGCACACAAATGGGTTCCACCTTTGTGTCTTCCTGTCAGTGCAGAGGGTATGAGACAAGGGCTCTGACAGCATTCTTCCAAGGCCAAGCAAGGTGGAGGCCAGTGAACCTCACAGGAGAATCATTTCCCACCTCTCTTCAGAGCACCTAATCTTCTCTGGGATTTTTGCAAAAGCTCCTTGGAGCAAAAAAGGTGCTCTGCTTTGAGATGGGGAAACAGCTGCCCAAGATGGCAGCCTGGCTGAAACCTGAAATGTGGGGTGGGATTTGCTCTGGCCGTCCTCTGGCTCTGGCCTTCCATGGAGCAAAGCCCCCCTTTCCCTATCAGACTTACATCCTCCAAGGTCGATGCTGGCAGTGTGTTTTAAGACATGGTGAAGGAATAGGGGAAAATGCAGGGACCAAGAAGTTCCATCTGAGAACCAGAGCTTTCTCCAAAATGGGGGTGGAGCTAGAAGTACCTGAAGGTACCTTGAGCTCTGGCCTGCTCTCCAACATGTGTACAACATGAGTGGACCCTGGGCACACACTAAAGGTGGGTGTGGAACGTGCAAAGTGGATTACCCTTCACACAGTGACAGCCTTGGGCTTGCTGAGGCCCCAGCATGATTCTGGTACCAGCAGGCAAAGAGATCCAGCCAAAGGGAAGCCTCCTGCATTAGGTCTTCATTCAAGATGGATCCTTTCTCCAGTGACAGGATGGCTCCTGCTGTAAGTGGCACTGACTTCCTTAATGAAGATCGCAGAAGTAAACTCCAGGTTGCTGTCCCTTGGAGGGCAGGTAAGCCATGGAGAGTGAGCAGGGATCCACAGTCATTCTGGCCATTGCCCAGCACTCCCAAAAATGTATCCTGGGGCACCAGAGGCCACCCTGTGTCACCATATGGTGGGGGGAGGGGGGAGAGAGTGACAGCCAGCTCTGTTGAGAATGGTGGACAGGGAACAACACATTCCTGTTTAGCCACTAGACCACTTGCTCTGGGTTCTTCTTCCTCTAGAGACCAAGTGGACTGTCTTCTAAACAGCTTCCAGGAAGGATGCAGGGCTGGACGTGCTATGGCTTTAGCTTCCTGTTTGATTTCAGGGGACATGAACTGTCCAGATTCCCACCAGCCCTCTGGACACAGATGAAGTCCACACTGGAAACACCTGCCAAGATACCACAGCACACTAGCTGCTTCCTCGGTGCCTCTGTTGCTTAAAGTGAGCACAGTCAACAATGACTGAGCTGAGAAAGCAGCTCGTTCACATCCCAAGTACTGTAATGACCCCTGCAGCCTACCAACACTCTGCCAGGCTAGAGAACAAAAGCCAGTATGCCAGTGAGCCCAGGCAGAGCTTCACTCCTATGCTTTTACTTCCTTACTGTTCGTTAAATAGTTGGCCTAGAATGATCCCCCAAATCTTCTGGCTCAATATATTGTAAAAGCATGATTCATCACTACTGTAGGGCTCTGGCTCACCAGGAGCCTTCTGTCAGCCTCTCACAGAGGGCAATTTGAGTCCCTCTATCACAGGAGTCCACATCCTCAAGTGCTAGGCAGATGCCTTCATCCACCCAGACCTGGGCCAGGTCCTGAGTACCACATGATCCTTTTAACCCAATGCTATCCTGCAACCCCTACCTGAACCTGTATCAGCCTCCACTTCCCAAACGAGTGCCATATACCTTCTTCCCAAACCTTCAACACCCATCTTCCCCACCCCACCACCGCCATATACCTTCTTCCCAAACCTTCAACACCCATCTTCCCCACCCCACCACCGCCATATACCTTCTTCCCAAACCTTCAACACCCATCTTCCCCACCCCACCACCCAAAACCTGCTCAACCTTTTTCCTCCACCTTACCCCTCCCTTGCCCTGTCCACCTGGATCCTCCCCACTGGACCCACATGCTGTTTATTGACTTAAAGACACTACATGGAGCATATTCATTCAGCAATCATTGAGCCTGCAATCAATGATGTTTTATTTTTGTCTTTTACCACTACAGACACCTCCCTTCATTTTTAAAAAATAAACATCTTAAAAGCATCTTATAGGCCAGAGAGTAAGCAAGAATCTCACTCACACACTTAAAATCTCCGAGGAAAGCTTGAGGATGCCACAGCATGAACTCTTCAACCATCTGGTGAGCCACCATGACTGTTAGAACTATTGTGCTGACTGTGGATGGCAGCATTGTGTATGCAAGAAGCCCTTCTGCCCAGCAGAGGGAAGATACTGCCATGTGGAAGCTACATGGAAGCATCTGGAACACTCTGGGTCTCAGGAGTCAGCCAGGTCAGCACAGGGCTGCCAAGAATGACATGACCTCATAATGAGCTGAGAGAAGAGCAAAATACAGTGACCAGTATTAGGTCAGCGGTTCCCACCTTCACCAGGTACAGAAGACACAGCTGTGGCACATGGGTGGGATGGAGCAGAGGATGAGGACAGACCAGCAGCCAGGACTGCACACTGTCTATAGAGCCATAGGCTCTGCTGGGGAATAAGAGACTCACCGAGGGAAGCTGACCGAGAGGGACTCGGGTTGCTGAGCCTGCATTCTTGCTCAGTGGCATGAACCTATTTCAGGGTCGGGCCAGTGTTTTCTGAAGGAGGCAGGGAAAGACACCTGCCTTTTTCATCACCTTGAAAGTACCACAGAGCCATCCCTAGCCCCACTGTCCCTGAGTGCCCCACCTGGAGGCTGATTGGGAACCTAGCATTCAACTCCATTTTTGCCCACATCTGGACTGTTCATCTGTGGGGTGTGCAGGGCCAGCCAGCCTCCCTAATGCAGGGGCATAGGTGGGCACTGTGCCCAAGGCTGTTAGTCACATGTCCTTGTCCTTCCTTGGATGCCTCAGAGAGCCTTGGCACTAGCAGGGTGCACTGCATGGGGCACTGGCTTCTGGGGGTGGCGAGCAAAGGCATAAGCCTGCCCCAGGATGGCCAGGTCCACCAACACCTGCAGGAGGCCACAGACCGAGAACTGCAGGGGTGCACCATTCAGCAAGAAGTAGGCTGTCTTGAAGGTGTCACCACTTGTCCACATGAGCACCATCTTGAGGCTGTAAGGACACAAAGGGATAGTCAGCAGTGACCTGAGGACAGGGACACACACAGGTTAGTAGTATGGCACAAAAGGTAAGGAGACACATTAGAATATGAGTGCCACAGCAGGAGGGGGAAGACTCTGACCCAGACCCATGCAGCCTACCACACCTTTGATCCCAGAGAGGAGAGGACAGTCCACCTCACACCAGGACCCAGGAGCTCTGACCCTCATGGGTTAGTAGTGTGGCCTGAGAATGGCCTGTGCACAGAGAGCCATGAAAGCAGTTTTACAAGAAGGTTAAAGACTCAAGGTTGGTCATCCTGACCCAGGTGCTCTGTCTCCTACTGGATACTGAGGACTCTAGTGGGAGGCCAATGGAGAAAGCAGAGGCAGCACACAGAGCACAAAGCAGCTGCCCTGGGGCCTCCTCCTGAGTAATATTTCCATGAGAGAAACAGAATCAACTGCCACCTATTGCCCCACACATCCCTTACAGGCCATGACCATTTTCCTGCACATAAGGTATAAATAAGCTCCACTTCAATGGCAGGCTGAACCTGTAACACTAACTAAACTACATGCAGCACTTCTGTAGCTGAAGACCCTAGACAGACAGATGCTCCTCAGAGCTGCAAGGGCCCCCAATACACAATGCAGAGGAGACATTCCACAACCAAAGACAACCACCTCCCTTGGCTAGCTCACTACAGTATCCCAGCCTGCAGTCCTCCTCTGGGGCCACCAGCTTACCCCTTCCTCCTGAAATAGTCATCTCTTTTAGCCAATCCCAGTGTTGTGGGTTCAGATGCCCCAGAAGAAAAAAGGCAGTACACCCTAACCTCACACAATCCTACATCTACAAATAGAGTGTTATGGGAGGAGGTCACAGCCCTGGGCCTTGCTAGAGATAGGAACCAGGTTGTCCTCTGAGGAAACCCCTGCTCTGGCGAACTGGGGAGTTTGGCAGACCACTCAGTGCTTGTGTTAGACACAGTATTAGTTACTTTCCTCATTGCAGTGACAAAATACTGACCAAAGCAACTTAGGGGAAGAAGAAGGGTTTCTTGTGGCTGATCATTCGAGGGTAGAGTGCAGAGGGCATGGAAGCAAGAGAGAGGCAGCTGGTCACTGTCTGCATCCACATTCAGGAAGCAAGAGAGATAAGTGCTTATACTCAGCTTGCTGGTTCCTTTTATTCAGTCCAAGATTCTAGCCCATGGAGTGGTACCACCCACAGTTAGGGTGCATCTCTCACCTCAATGAACTAATCTAGAAACTCCCTTACAGATATACCAAGAAGTTTTTTATTCTAGATCCTGTCAAGGTGATTGTATCAACCATCACAGCCAGTGTTCTGGAAATCTGAACACAAAGCACTTGCTCTCCTAATTCTACACTCCAGCTCTGAGTCCGAAGTTGGTACACATGCCACGAGCCCTGGGCAGTACAGCACCAACCAAGCTTTTTCTAGTTAGTTTTCTTTTAAATTTAAGAGAAATGTTTTGTGACTATATTTGAACTATAACTTAAACCACAGTTAATCCGTCACTTAATTTTAATGTCCCCATATTCTAAAACTTTACTGGAGCCAGGCATGATAGCAAACACCTGTAATCCCAGTACTTGGGAGGTGGAGGCCAGAGAATATGGAGTTCCAGGCTAGCCTCAACTACACAAGACATTGTCTAAAAATAAGAAGAAAACTTACCGAAAAGCCAAATTATGAGAAGATCCCACATGGACCACACACATGCACACTACAGATGACAAACCCTAGAAGGATATACAGATGTGCAACCATGTGGTGCTAACTATTGACTAGTGTTTCACACATGGTTGGGCATGTCTGCAGCTTGTAGGGGCTGGAGCCAGTCTGCAGTGCTTAACACATCTAGTGTCAGAAGCCCCAGATTAGGCGTCTCAGACAGATGACGATGTTCCTCACAAATCCACAACATACTTACTGGAAATAAGAGACTGGAACCAGGTGCTGCTGAAAACCAGCAGAGAATGAGAAGGCCAACCTGCCCCTCTGAGTCAAAGATACATGCAGATGAATGCTGAGCATTTGCTGGGACAAAACATACAGAGGTGACCATGTGACCTAGTAAGGCAGAGAGCTTAAATAATTCATCAAATGTCATACCCTAAGTGGGTGTGGGATTCCTTGGGCTTGATTCCAAAGTCTGGAAGAGAGGTCCAAGGCATAGGTTGTATAGCTGCAGCCCTGAGCCCCAGACCACCTGTCCCTGCTCAGGCCACCTGCCCAACACCCTCACTTTAACATCTCTGTGGCGCTACATGCACAGTTGTGTCACAACAGCAAGTAGAGACGTGGAGTAATCACTGGAACATTGCACTGGTGCCAGGGGACATTCTTAGTGCCTGAGTTCCTCCTTCAGCTTGCCTTTACACTTCAGGAAAGATGGCTCATTGGTAACCAGCATTCTCCAGTTCATGGGACAGGAATCTGATGATGCTGAGGCTATGGTACCATCTGAATGACTCGGGGCCAGCAGGTGAAAAGCAGCAGCAGGTTAGGTTCTGGGGGCATGATCACACATTTGAAGCTGCAGGGCTGCCTTATACAGGGCAAGCACATGGGTCAATTCCCTCACCACTGGCACTATTAGTGCATTATCTGCTCTGAGGCAATAAATGCCAGTTCTTCACTCTGGCCTTTCCTCAATGCTTTACCTCAACACCATCTTTATGAGCAAAGAATGAGCACTGCCCCTGTAATTCCAGTACTTGGGAGGCTGAGGCAGGAGGATCAAGAGTTTAGTGGCAGCCTAGGGAAGGTTGGGGGCGGGTAGGGGAGATGTAGCACATCCCAAGAAGTCCCTCCCTCTTCCTTGGATGGAGGCAACAGCTGGTCTAGGTTCTAACCAAGAGATAGATACCCACAGTACAAGGACATCCATTCTCCTAGGCAGTGAGCCTTGCAACAGAACCAAGTATGGGTAGAGAATGGACTTTAATTCCAAGAGCTTTTCTACTTCTAGATCCATATGGTAGCTAGTGGACTAGGCATGGCTACAATTCCCTCCCTCTCCTCCCTCTGCTGACTGCTGTCTCCTGTTCAATGGGCCTCTTGGCCTGACCCCCTCCTGCCCTGTTTTAATCCAGGCTCCCATTACCTCATTCTTGGCTCCAGCATTTTTCCTCGGCTGCTAGATCACTATTCCTAAAATACCTCTCACCTCATCCTTGCCCTGGGCAGTAGACAGGAATGCCTCTCCCCAGCACCCAGGACAGTAGAGACAACTGTTGCACCTGCTCAGCCTGCCTTCCAACCTCAGCCCATAGGCATGCTGACCATGCTGACTTCAGCCCAGGACCAAGTCACCACCACCACTACCTACGAAACTCCCCCAAGACTAAAACCCATCCAAAGCAAGTCCACTGATATGTAACCTTGGTATAGGCGGAGTTCTCTTAGATGAGGCATCAAAAGTACACAAACAATAAAAGAAAAAACAGATACACTAGATATCATCACAAGTTGAAAGTATTTTGTTTGTGATAGGGTCTCATGTATCCTAGACTGGCCTCAAACTCCCTATGACCTTGAACTTATGACCCTCCTGTTTTTACCTCCTAAATGCTGAGATTACAGATGTGTGCTACCATGCCTCATCTGAAGGTCAAACCTCCTTTGTGCATGCCAGGAAGCCCTCTACCAACTGAGATATATCCCCAGTTACTAAAGTTGAAAGTTTTGTGTTGTAATGGACACCACTGAAAGAGAAGGTAAGCCACAGGATGTGAAATGTAAGAAATATTTGTAAATCATACATTTGATATGATTCTAGTATCCAGAACAGATTTTTCAAAAATTGTTACAGTTCAGAAATAAAACACTATAAATGACCAATTTTAAAATGGCCAGAGATCCTGAAGAGATGCTTCTTTGAAGAAGACATAACCAGGGCCACATGAGATGTCCAATGTCATTAGTTGTCAGTGAAATACAAACCAAACCACAAGACAGCACTTTATACCCACAAGGATACTGGAACAAAAGAACAAACAGCAAGAACTATGGGAAAATCAGGACCCTGCTCAGCTAGTGGAATGTGAAATAGTGCCTCCCTGGAATACAAGCTGTCTGTTTACAGAGGATCACATGACCTAGCCATTCCATATCTACACACCTCCCCATAGAAGAAAAATATAAGTGTACAGAAGAATTGGTACATGAAGTTCAGACAGAATGATTCACGATGTCCATCAACTGAAGAATAAGCAAACATATAATGAAGTGTTTAAAGGAATGAAGCTTAAGGCCATACACAGAAGGCCACATACTATGTGATTCCACAAATGTGTAATGTCCAGAACAGGCAAATCAGGAAAGACAACAGGTGAGTGAGATGGAGGAGTCTGGGGTGGATGGGTGTGGCTGCTAATGAGTTCAAGTTTCTAAACCTTTAGGATGAGACTGTCCTAAAATTAGACCATGATGCCAGCTACATAAGCCTATGTATGCATCACTAGGTACTCTAAGCAGGTGATATGTGGTGTGTGAATTATATCTCAATAGGTTATTTTTTCTAAATGCTGCAACTCTATTCTAGGCTGCCTGTTCCAGTGGGTAGGAATCTGGCCTTTGTGTGGTGGGCACTGTGAGCAGCACTTCTCACAGACCTATAATACTGTTGTGCAAACAGCACAGATTGTGGGGACCTGGCAGTGACAAAGACATGGCCCAGAGGAAGCATGCTCCCATTTTCAAAAGGCTACAAATTCAAGGGGCCTGCTCAGGGGACCAAAGCTATGCCTGTGTGATCATAGGTTACACAAAGCCTGACTTCTGGGAGTAGCCTGTTATGGGTCCAGAGCCCGAAGCCCCAACTGGATCCAGCAGAGTGGCCTGGTGGCCCTGAGAAAACAAACAGACATGGTACAGAGATTTGTACCTCTGCCACCTTCATAATGGCCAAGCCTGCCTGCTCCTTCTCATCCTGCCCTCACATGGCCTCCACAGTCACTTAACCAGGGCCTGACCCTAAGTGTATACCCCAGATTCTGCAGGCTCTGCACTGCTTTTCCCTCCCCATTCTGCACTTCCAGTTCTGTTCCTCACTGTTGATGGCACCTAATACTTGGCTCCCTCTTATCTTTTACACCCACCCCCGCTCTCCAGTAATTACTTGTTAGGGAACAGTCTTCAAATCCAGTAAAACCTAGGGGAAGAAGAATGCAAATGCCCCCACAGAATATGCCTTTCAGAGGTTTGCTGCATTAATTAGTAAAGTTATTTCAAAAGTGTCATTTATCACTGGCTCCAAAACCATGGTCCATTAATATTTTTCAAGAGGAAAATTATTATTTAAAAATACCTCTAGTAGGGGGGGGTTAAAAAAAATACCTCTAGTACTAGTAGTAGGTTCAAGGTAGAAAAATAGGTGTGCATGCATGTGAGGTGGGTGCGTGCATGTGTATAATATGTGTGTACACCTACCTATATATATGTATACAATGAGGCAAGACTTTCCAGGAAATCTGCTATGGGGCTACTAGAATTAGTCATATAGGAAAGGAACTCAAGTCCTTACTATTCCTGACCACCCACCTCCCACACACCTAGCCCTAGGGACTTCTGTTTAAGGTACATCTGAGGTGCCAGTATCAATTCCTTCCATCAGGGTACAATGGTGTAAGCAGGTCCTTAAAGAAAAGAGAAAAAGCCTTCATAGTCATGCATGCTATCACCTGCCACTAGCCTCTGCTTTTGTTGTTTTGTTTTGTTTATGTGCTCTAGGCATGAAACAGCTTTGGCCACCAAGCCAGGCATCAAGCCAGGAGGAACAAAGAACTACCATCTATTCTGTCTCTGACCAATAGAAGAACACCACTGACAATGAGGTGTCTTTGTCCATTGCCAGGGGGTCAGCCTCTGGTTTTCCTGTGTGTATAAGTGCTTGTGCATGTGCACATGTTTTAAACATCATTTTCAACCCAAATGAGAAGCACCCACATTCTGTCAAATTCATTCTGAATTCTAATTCCCATACTTTTAAGAGTCACAAATCCACAGATCTGTGGGTATTCCAACACTCCACAGAGGAACCTGAGACACCCCTAACCTGGATTCCTGACAGGCAATCCAGTAGTAACAGCATCAGTTCTTCAGTAATGGAAGTCTGGTGAGCCGGTGCCTATGCACACGAAGGAGCCTGGCAGCTGGCCCCGAGGGAGACTACAGTAGGGAGCCCCAGTGAGTCTGCACACCCATTCCTCTCCCTGGCTCCAATGCCACCTTTTCTACCATGTCTCAGCTCTCAGGTGAAAATGGGCACCTAACACTAGCATCTTGGAAAACGTCTTAAACCCAGAAGTACAGCTGTCGGTCTCCAAAAGTCAAAAGTCACCCTGGGCTGGCTTTCCTCCAGCTCTGTGTGGACATCGACTCAGAGCTGGTGCTCCACCTCACATCTACTAGCTCCAAACCAGAGATTCAGAATCCTCATGGCTCCAGCCCCACCAATAAAGAAACCATTCAGGCCCAATCCATGGCTCATCCTCCCATCCTCACTAGGGAAATGTGATCCACTCTAGTCAGATCTGCCAGCCCAGCTCTGTCCTTCCCATCTACCAATCATGTTAGAGTCTAACCTACACCTAACATCCTTTACCCTGCACCAAGTTCTATGCCTGAAGCCACACCTCACACTTATAACTACACTCTATACATGAACACAAGCCTTGTACTTGTAATCCTGCATTCTATAAAAAGAACTATGGAAAGATGTTGATGCCTGATACCTGACATGACCCAAATCTCTGCAAAAGCTATTGCCGTCCCTTCTCAACCAGACCAAAGTGCCACTACCACCCACAAGTGTGCAAAGAAACCTCAGAAAATGGCCCTCTGAGTGTCTTCCACAAAAGATAGGATAAGAGACCTTAGTGAGAAGTCAAGAGACTGAGATGTGGATGGGTCTCAGAGAGAAGTGGATAGGGTCTGAGGAAGAGGAATGGTGCTGAATTAAAATACCTGGCTGTGTTCCTCCCTCCACCGATTGATTTGTATTCAAATAAATGCTATTTTATTCAAGAGTTTCTAGTGGCCCATGGGAACTGCCTTATGCTGGATAAATGATGTCTCCAGACACTTCTGTTATATGGACCTGTCTTAGGATGATGCTGACAACAGCTTTACCCTCCTTTGACAGACACCATAGCTTTGGAGGCCATGGCGAGTTCCACTGTGGGAGTGCCATAGCTAGGGCACCTTTGAGAAGGTTGCCTGCCCTGCCACATCCAGTTGTAGAGGTACCTCATTCCTCAATCCCTGATCCTAGATAAGTTCTGCAGCCCCTGAAGGGTTGTGGCCTCCACAGAGTGTCTCTGATTTCCTCCCCTGCCCTACCCGAACATATCTGTTCAGACAAGGGTCAAGGGCCCAGTGCATTTAGCAGTATGAGTTCACCATACTGTGAGTTCTCAATGGCCCCAATGCTGTGGTAGCCTCCACAGTGGTCCCCCTACCTCATGCCCTCTGTGGAGTGGTGGCGGTAGTTGCGATACAGCTGTGGCACACCCAACATGGCCTCGGTGAGCACGGCGAGGAAGCCTAGTGTCTCCACAAACAGGGCTGAGTCGATAGACAGGTAAGTGATGTAGCCTGCCACACCCGTGAAGGCCAGGACACACTGCACATAGTCTGCGAAGCTGCTCCAGTGCCAGAAGTGGTGAGGATCAAAGTCTAGGGTGAGAGGGAGAGAGGCACCTCAGTGGGGTGAGCAGGTTGAGTCCCAGCAGGTGGGGGAGGATGCTGAAAGGCATGGGCAGGTCAAGGCAGTGCAGGCAAGGAGTTGAACCATGTGACCCCTGAAGGTCAAAGTCGGTGTGGAACATGTGAGTAGGTCAAATTCAGTGTGAGAAGAGTCAAGGTCAGTGTGGGAAGAAAATAAGCAGACCAAGGTCAGTGAGAGGAGACATGAGCAGGCCAAGGTCATTATGAGGAGATTTGAGTAGGTCAAGATCATTGTAGATGTGAGTGTAAAATTCAGTGTGAGAAGACATGTGAACAAGTTGAGGTCAGTATGAAGATACAAGAGCGTTCCATTAAAGGAAATTCAGGGAACTCTTGGTACAGATATTAAGTCTAAAAGATACTGAAATCCTTTAACTTAATCTCAACAGTTCTGGGAAGCAGTGTAGTACATGGATTGTCCTATAGTCTCTAGAATCCAATTCCTGAGTGAGAGTGAGTACAACAGTGCCCTCTATTGGTTAACCATGTCTCCATTTGCTCAGGTGTAATAATACCCACCTCCTGGGATTATTCTAATGGTTAATGCATGAATTCTATGAGTTTTACAGTGCTCTTAGCCCAGGACAAGGACTCAGTCAACATACATTGGACGACATGGGTGTACTTACATCCATGCAGACAAAATACTCATACATATAAAATAAACAAATCTAAAAACAATTTTTTATTACTTTTGTATGAGTGTATTGCCTGTGTGTTGGTGGGTGCACCCGTGTCATGCAATGCCTGAGGAGGTCAGAAGATGGCATCGGATCCCCTGGAACTGGAGTTACAGTTTTTAACCATTTGGGTGCTGGGAATTGAACCCAAGCCCTCTGCAAGAGCAGACAGTGCTCTTAACTCTCCATGTCATCCAGCCAAAAAAATTAAAATTTAAAGAATATATAATGAAGCTCTTCTTGGGTTCTACTTGGGGTGGGGGGGAGGCACTAGCCAAACAAAAAAGGAGTAATTTGAAGGAATCATGGCAAGAACACCAAGTTACATGTACCAAATTGCATTTTATGTGCATCACACACAATCTAACCAGGAGGTATGCTGTCCCACACCAACCCCAACCCTCAGACACAAAGGTCACCCTGTCTCACTGCAGCCTGGCACCAAAGGAAGCTATAGTAAAAAGTGCCTTCCTGAGGTTGAGGTCCTCCTTCTCAGCCTCAGCAACAGGCACATGGCCCAGGCAACCCAAGTTTCTTATTGATAATAACAATGAAAATTTGATTCAGGGCTAGCCCCCCCACAGGGATAAAACCCTGCAAGGTGAAATGGGAATGTCACTACATGCCACTTATAGTTAAGGCTCTAAAATGTTCATGGCTCATACTGTGCTTGGCTTCAGTTTACCTGTCTAGAGCCTCCTTGATACCAAGCCATGGCCTGGACTTACTCCCAACTCCAGTGCATCCTGGTCACAGCTGGAGGGGCAGGCACTAGCCCCTCCCAGATAAGAGGTCCAAACCTGGGAAGAGGTTTCTCCAGGGCAGCAGGGGCAAGCAGAGCTGCACTCCACTGCAGGTCTCCTTGCACTGCCTCTCCGTTTGTTTCAGCACCTTCAGGGAATGCTAAGCTGACCCTCAGAGATAAAAAAATACCCAAGAGAGCAATGGGGAGAAGCCATCAGCCCAATGCAACATCAGTGCTTGTGGCATGTGGTGACAGGGACCTGCAGACCCTTTTAGTAGCAGGTAGTAAGTAAGGATCCAAGGAGGGACACAGGATGGTCCCTGGAGCAGGTGAGTATTGAGAGGCTGTGAACAGGCTTGGAAGAGGTGACAGGAGAGATATAGTATCCGATGTTTCCTCCTAGAGACAAAAGGTGAGGCATTCTTCAAAACACTACACTTCAATAACCTAAAACAAATTTTGCTTAAGGCTTCTGGAGGGCTGAGGAAACAAATTAATATCCTTCTGAATCTATGATTTGAAATGAAACAAACAACCCAGTTAAAAAACTGGACAAAAGGGTGTAAACAGAAAAATACCCAAGAAATACATGGAAGAAAGCTCAACATCCTTAAGTCATAAGGACATGAGTCCTTCACGTCCTGATGAGCTGAGCCTGAGATCCAAGTTGCCCTGATGATACTGGGAGGGGAAGAAGCAGAGACCCTGGGCCCACCACAGCACTCAGGAGAAGAAACAAGTCCAGGCCAAGGTTCCTGACCCTCACAGCTCTATTTCTGCCAGCCCACTCTGAAGGCAGTGGTACATGCTACCCAGATGCCCCACCAAGGAGAGAGCACCTGACTGCTGTGATTTATAAACAATTCCTGGTTCTGCGGCAGCCCACCACCACCCTCGTGTGGCTTGTCTGTGCGTCTTCAGGCAAAGTCTTTCTGCTCCTTTAGGAGCAAGATAAGGAATGACATCCTCCTGAGAGAAGGCATGTGTTCTACACTGTCTAGGACCCTGGAGGGCAGGGCCTGGGTATGCTCAGCTCCCTGCCTAGGGGCAGCTTTGTAGAATTTAAGCCAATGATACTCAGCCACTGAAAGGGTAGAGTGAACCCCAGACCCACTGCAGGAACAGAGTACAGGGTTCTCAGAAGTGGAAGCTCTGTGCCAGGTCAACAGAGGTCAGAGAGCCTGCCAGGACTTGGGCTTATAGCACTCACCTCTAAGAAGCTGCCTAGGAAAAGACAACTGGTACTTAAGCACTAACATAAAGCAAGGCCCAGGAGACTGAGCTGTTGGGGAAGATGGAGCTGGATAAAGACAGGCCACAATGATGACAATATGGTCATGACATGTTATACCTCACAGCTCTACCTGGCAAGGGGGGCCACCCCAAGGGGGATGTGTTTCTCCCCAGCTCCCCTCAAAATCTGGCACTACCACAGAAGACCTGTAACCACAGCCTCTAGTGACTTACATGGTGTTCTGCATCCCTGGTGGCAAAGATACAACTCTGAACTATGGACTGGAGACATCAGGAGCCCAGCTGGTCCCCCAGATCCCACATCTTAATCAGTGAATCTGGGAGTGCAGAGAGGAATTCACAGCAGCTAATGTAATGACTTTTACAGTATGAACATGCTCAGGACAAATGACTTTTACTTAACCTTGCAACCAAAAAGTTAATCTGGTCTTAGCTTGTTTTATAATGTAGACAAATTCACTGAGCCTTGGGTTCCCCTTATGACCTGGGTATATAGCCTTAATCCCTCATTTGCCCTTGAGCCAAAACAATGTATGAATGTGTATATCTTTTACACAAGTGCTACAAACAGCTGATATTTGTTGGAAGCAATAAAGGTTATCCCATTTGTGTTGTAAAAAATAGATGTGATTGAGCCGGGCATGGTGGCACGCGCCTGTAATCCCAGCACTCAGGAGGCAGAGGCAGGTGGATCTCTGTGAGTTTGAGGCCACCCTGGTCTACAAAGTGAGTTCCAGGCTGGTTGGGGCTACAGGGAGACCCTGTCCCCTGAGTAAGACCATCTTGTGAGGCTAATGAGGAGGCTCTCACCCAAGAATGAGCATCCCTAGGGCCTGTAGTCATCATGGACCACTGAAACAACAGACCCCAAACAGCTCTCATCATCCTGGACAGCAACAGCAAGGAAGTATCTTTGAACCAATCAGGATAAATAAGAAATGTAGCACTTCTCCTTCCCAACTGGGCAATTAAACTACAGGGCTCTGCACAGGAGATTCTGGAAGAAGCAGACTCAGCAGAACAAGGGAAAAGCCACTTCCCCCAGCCCCTACCCAGTCAGCAATTACACAAACATGCCCCTCATTTCTAAACCCCAAGGCTTGGGCAGCTCTGACAAAGCAGGCTCCCTCCCCTCTCTCCCAGGGTTGACCCAGCAAGCCACACCAGGTATCCCAACCAGGACAAACCTGACTCCAAAGGCTTAGTACAAAGGAACAGGTCTGTTTTCACTTATGCTAAAAGGACATTTTGTTTTAAAAAATCCTGTTAACTTTGCCCATTTCTTTTCACTTGTTTGTGAGATGGGGGTCTCATTGAGTGACCCAAGATGGTCTCAACTCCTGGATTCTCTCTCCTTGGCCTCCTGAGTAGCATTCACTACTGTCCAGCAGGACTATCTGCTTGGATCACCTGAGATCCAGAGACAAGTTACCCTCCCCAGATTGTCCATCCTGGGAGCCTCAAGCCAGACCCTCAGTCAGGAAACAAACTGACCCAGAGCTTCCCAAGACAGGACCAGAGGAAGGACAGAAAGACTACAGCCCAGCACAGGATCTGCTCCTGGCAAAGGGGGCAAGACAATAAAGTAAGCAGCAACTTCTTTGGCTCCTTGCCTAGAGGCTGCTGAGACCTGCTGACATGAACATTTTGGGTAATTATGGGGAATATCCTTATGTTTGGGAAATCTCAAATAGCTCAAGAAAAAAAAATCATATTGTAATCCCAATTGAACATGGTAATGATATCAACATTTTCAAAAATAAAATTGACTCTCCCTGAGAACCAATCAAAAGCTCCAGTCTTTGCCAGCCCTTGTTCAGAGTTCAGACTCTTACACTACCCTCACCTACAGCAAAGGATAGACTATGGTTGGGCCAGAGGAAGGCTCAGCAACCCAGAAGCAAAGATCTGTGGATACAGGAGCTGGGCAGAAGTGCCCAGTGGAACTCATGTTGTGTTCAGAACCCCATGCTGGCTTCCAGAGAGGGTCCCCTGAGAAACTGACTGGGAGCACCCACTGTTTGGCCAGAACAAAATAAGCAACTACTGAGGCCAGTGTCTCAGTCCAATCTGAGGTTACACAAATATCACTGTAGTAGCCACAGCAAAAGCCAAGGAAGCTTGGGGTGGATGGGACTTGTAATGGGCTGTTGGTGCTTTTAACTTTCTACCTCTCATTTCAGGAGCCCTTTCCATCTCTATCCTTATCAACATCCCAGCTGTTTCTGCCCAGGAGGGTACTCTGCAGTAGACAGATAGGCCAGGCAAGA